ACTGAGGTGGTTTATAAAATAAATTATGTATCGATAAATAATTCATCGTTATTACTAATGATATTATGGAGTGTAACGGTAGAGTAGTTTGTTCAATGGTGAGTAGGCCGTATCTACTAAAGCACCAGAATCGGCGACATCTAGTGGCCACAGTGGTGACCCGGCTGACATACAAACCGAGATATGGTCGATTCTAGTAAAACATGGACCTTTAAGCTGCCTTATTTCGAGAATATTTTTCTGTTAGAAACCGTACAAGTGCATTTTCCACAGCACTGCAACTTATTTTCTGTGACTAATTAAAAAAAAATAGGGCAGTTTTACTCAAAGGCACTTGCCTTTGTCGGAAAGTACGAAAACAAAAAAGCCCCATCGCCTTTCTGCATTTCAAAAAGAAAGTTAAGCCTACCACAAAAGAATATGACAAAATGAACCACAATACTTACAGACCTAATTATTTCATATACGTATACATTTATTCATGAAATAATAAAACTAAAATTTCATTCGAAAAATGTTATTTGACTTTACTCGTTTTTGAACGGCTTTCATTGGTTTCTTCCTGGAACTGGAACAAATCAGTGTCAATGTTTAGGTTGTACATGGTTGCCAAAACAGGACCTCAAGTTTAACTTCAATATGTTTCCTTATGTTTATGATTTTGTAAAGGTTACTTACCTTTTCATCCAAATACTATCAGTCTTTTAATTTTTCTTCTTTTTCTTTTTAGAGAGACATCTGTAACAAAAATACATCCGTTCAACATCTATTCTTAGAAACTAAAACCTTCTTTTCTATTTTTCTATTAAAAAAACACCGGAAGCTGTTCCTAACGTGCATAAATATCAAAGCATGCATTATTAAATATGTAATCGTGAATGAGTTATGTAGTGTTAAAAGCCAAATTATGATTCATGCGACCTAAATATTCCAATTTTAATTATTGATATTGCATACGTACCTTTGTGCTGAAAAAATAGCAAGTACCTTCCAATAACTTTTAACTAAATGGAAACTTCAATAACATTATTGGGTTGTTGATTAGCACAATGTTAAATTAAACATGTTAAAGGTTGATGAACAAAGTGGGTCCGAACATGCGGTATATAGGATGTTTCAATGTTTTAAAAGAGAGCCGCATACCAACTCACGTTATATGCTATGTATTTCGTGTTAAGCATGTTCATATTTAAGAGAAGAACTAGGTTCACAGGCGTGGTCTGTACATTAAGTAACTAGGCTTAATTTTTTTAACTTTTCTGTTCAAATTTAATTACAATTTTATAATGTCATCCTCAAAATAACTTTCTTCTGAAGTCACTCAGTGCTGGAATCGGTTCTTCCACTCCTCGTAGCAGTGCTGGAACTACGAGACTAGAATAGCCTTCGGCTGGTCGGTTACAGCCGTGTGAATTTTTTCGACTGTCCCAAAATGAGTTCTCTTGAGATGATTTTGCAACTTCTGGAAGAGAAAAAGTCACAAGGCGAACAAGGAGGCTGAGGAGTCACAGGAATGTTTTTACTAGCCAAAAACTCGTTCATTGTCAAGACGCATTATCGTGATGTAACATCCAGTTGTTCTTCTCATATGAACGGTATTGTAAGTCAAATTCAGCTCTACCCCGATCATTCTGACCATCAATCGACGATCTGAATGTACAAAACGCAGGGTTCTGTCGATATTTCCATCGGTTCTGGCAGATGAAAACCTTCTGCTTCGTGGGAACCTGATGGCACACCGTCGCTCCAAATTTATACTACTCATTTTTACAACACAATAGAAAAAACTGTTTCACAAAAAATTCGCTTCGGACAACCAAATGACTCGAGCGAAACTTGTACTGAAGGCGGATCACACGTTCCCAGCCTCCCCTCCAAGCCCGGCACCTCCAGTGTTGCCAGATTGAACGCTACGTTGCCAGTCCCATTACTTGATTTACAGAGCTCGTAGGTACCTTAAAAATATGAGAACATACCAAATGACAAGTTAATGAGTCATTATTTTTTAAATGACCGATTCAATTATTCTTTCTCCAAATTGTACACTCGTAAGAATACTACCAGTACCCCTAGGCAATACCTGTTGTTCACTAGAATGAACAACGTTGCTATATGATAGATGTTGGATATTAGATAGTTCATAGTTCAAAGCGAGGCTAACGCGACGTGTGTGTTCCCCAATTAAGTTAATCCCTTTTTTGTTTATCCCTCCATATTGTATCACATACCTGATGCATAAAGTTTAAATGCCGCCACGTGGCTGTGTATTCCAGCAGGAATACCTACGTATATGTATTTACCTCGTCCTAAATCCAACTTGATTGCAGCTTTAGATGCCCATACCTATACGAAGAGAAATTCCCGGTGGAAATACCTTTGATAAAAATATAGATAGCTCTACGTATAAAAGAAAATAGTTTGCTACACACAATACGAATTGTGTGGAAGAAAGTTATGAAAAACATCAATAGAAGCGTTAAGTCAGACTAGCGCCGCAGTCGAATATATAATTAGATATAATTTCTAACAAATCGCCGCAGTCACAACCACACACAATACGCTTAGCAGTAACGTAATCAGGCTGTTTACAAAATCTATGAATATGTCAGCTTCCTTGCTAGATATGTCAAAAACAAAATAGATGATTACTTTCTAATTTAGCAATAATATTTTAATGCTCATGTTTATAAAATGAGACGGTCGAATATATTTAGTCGAGGGCAGTAAAAACCAATCGTGGATGCATCACGTTCCAATATTTCAAATGCTTAATAGGATAATAATATTTCTGCATGATATAAAATCAAATTTGTCACAAGGGCTCATGTAAATGTTGTAGAAGGTATCTCAAGTACAATGCGGTTCATTTCATTTGAAGTTCACAATACAAAACTTCGAAAGAATTGAAACATTTCTATAATTTATGGATATAAACGTAGTTGATCGTCGTAAAAGAGAAAGCTTAAAATCGTACTTTGGAATGAATCAATTTTCTTTGCAAAACAAATAAGTTTCTATGCTTCCGAAGCTCATTAACTACTATAGTATGTTTTGATGTCATCAAAGAATACATACCAGCGTAAATTTAAAATTTCAGCAATGTTGGAATAAGTAGCAAGTACATATTAGTACTAAACCATTAACGATACATCGGTATCAAACGTAGTCCCTAGCTAAAACGATATCATTTTCGATAAAATAAACACATATAATAGGTTGCATTTTATTATAAGTAAACAAAAAGCATCTTATATGTCTGTCATGTCAAGAATCCGTGATAACTTTTGAACTCTACAACTTCAACACTGGCTTCTAGCAGTAATCTACATGATCACCATTGAACGTCATGCTTGCAAGAAATAGCACTGATTACGGATATGAAAAAAAAAATACACAAAATAGGTAACCTCCGTTGTAAGTAGAGATATCTGGAGTGATAGTTGTGCTAATGCACTCTCTCAGACTGTGTGTCTATGTTTACGCAGCTCATATTTTCCTCACTCAAGTGCTTGCTTTCAGCAAAAGGTGCGTCCCAAAAACTAACCTAAATTTCTACAGCCCTCTGTTCTCTACTTATATTATGTTAGGGCCAGCTACATTCGGCAAGCAAGTGAGGCAGCTGCTTCAGGGCGCAGTGTTTGTTCATAGGGGGAGTACAATTTTTAACTAATGTAGGAGGAGGGCGCATATCTTATCCTTTGGCTCGGGGCGTACACGACTCTGAAGCCGGCCCTTGTCATACATATATATGTATGTATGAAAATATATTATTTTATTTTTTAAAAATATACTTTTGAAGTTTGATGTCTCACAAATCAATTCAGTTCACAAGCTTGGTGGACACTTGCTAAATATTTCTGCACAGTCACAAACATTTGTATTTCACAAACCGTAGATTTTTCAGGACTTAATAGGCGTCTACCACATAGGCAATAGGCGTATATAAGCAAGTGTCACCGCTCTTCCCAATTGTTCTTGTTTACATTACGTACGAAATAATCAAACATCTCCATAAAAACTTTCGGTTTTGTGGACTGTTTTGCTGTTCGGATAGATGCAAATACATTTTTGTTATCTATATGTATGTATGTATGATGTATAACAAACAACTCTCAATGTTGCATATATTCAGACAACTCTCGTTGTTGCATATATTCAAACGAGTTTTTCTTTAGTGGTATCATCTATTTTTTCCTTCATCGGTGTGTCGCTATTATTTGCGCATAAAATCATAGATAGATTGATTTTCAAGCTATCTAGTTAGGCCAGGGAATAGATAACTACTTTCTACAATTAAGTAGGTATAGTAAACTTTTTTGGTTGTATCGTTAAATTATTGCTTCTTAATGATAAGTTCAAATTCGCGTCAAGATAGGGCTGGAGCATTTGGTGCAATTTTGATAAGAGCGTTATATCGAAAATCTCGGAAACCATCGATCATATGTAAAAAAAGTAATAAGCACAACTTTATAGGGAAGAACCATCGAGGTGACGAAGAAACTTAAAGGATCATGATGTTAATTTGAACTTATCATTAGGGAGCAATAATCTAACGATATCTCCAAAAAAAGTGCTGTTCCCAAAATTGTACGAAACAATGACCTGGCCCATAACGCATTAAGATTTATATGAATTTAAAAGTTTTATCAACATGTTTCTTTTCATTCCAGTACTTGAGTGCAAAACTAACACAATGAAGTTAGTTAGTTCACCCAGCTGTTTTTTCTACCTGGAGAGAGAGAACAGTTTTTCAATGGGGCATTGCGGTCAGTAATGGAAATTTCTCCGGAAGTAATGTAAAATATTATTACTGAAAATTCCATTCGGTGTATACCTTCGAAACGATTTTTCCTACTTCTTGGATAAACCTTGTTTAGGCATATAAATGTGCTGAATAGAAAAGTTGAGGAAAGAGGGAGAACAACAATCAAAAAGGTATTGGATACGTGGTAGGCGAACAATTATGTACCTCAGTGTTGGATTATCAGAGTCTGGGTTCCTTATACTAACCTTCCCGTCGTCCTCCTCCTGTCGTGACTGAACGGTGGCGCCCTCCTCACGTACCTCCTTATCTGGGCAGCTAACCTAGCTGATGACCTCCTCCTCTTATTACTGGCCGTGTCGGAGTACCTCCGGCCGTTGCAGGTAGCGCGAGAGTCCGTCGTCGTGGAGTCGACTTCGTGCTCTGGGATAGCCTCAGAGTCCCTTCGAGGTCGGAGTGATAGATGATAATGGAAGTGAAAAGATGGAAGGTGTATTGGCGTCGTAGATCGGTCGAAAGTCACAATACGTAATGTAATGTTGATTACTTTAGTTGATCGAATATGTGAATTCAATACACAAGTCAAAATGATTTTTTTATTTCCTTTTCGAATTTTGCTTCTCTAAGTTCCCTCATTTTCCTATCGAGATAATTACTACACTATTTTTTTATTAAATAATTATTATATTATGCAAAACACAAGAAATGCCACCAAGTACCCTATAAAGAAGAGCCCTATGAGCTGTTACTCGATTAATTGTTCAACAACACTGTATTCACGAACTTTTGACAGCTTAGGTATTATCCATAAGAAAATGGCGTCAAGTATGATCGGCACAAGTCAGAAAAAGGTTCGCTACGAACATGTATAACAAGAAAATGAAATGGATCAAGTAAGTGAATCAACTAAAATTTGCATACTTACAATGTTTTTGTACCAGTTTGGGGCTCTTTAGTATTTTGCTCTCGCTTTTCAAAAAGTTTTATAGGCAATTACACACAAACGTTATCTCTTGTCGATGGATGCCCCCCATTCCTCTGAGAAAAAATCCTGCGGACACGTATCATCGAAACTATGCTCGTGCTCTAAAAGATGATGCAATTCCTATGGAAGTCTCTATCGTCACCTGGACCATCTACATCTGTTGATGGAGAAAAGCGGAAAAGTGCTTACGAAAAAAGGCAAAGGGCTCAACTTATCCCCTAGAGTTTAAGTATAGAATAAGGTCATATATTTTGGGACGAAACGAAGGCGCATACTCAGAGTATTGCAGCGTAGAGGAAGAGGATACTCCGGACATTCCACTAACCGCATCATTAACGAATAAACTGAATGCACCTGAAGTATCAGCTGACTATATGAGGAAGTTTTAGTGGAAGAAATGGATGAGCTCGAGTATGATGGGCTGAAAAATTTGGCCGGCTTTGTTTGCCATAAATTGCAGGATGAGAGGTTGAAAAGTTCCTCAAATGAAACTTACTCCTGGATAGACCATCTTAGTGAGAGTGGATTATCAAACCTTCCACAGCTTTCATGAATCAAATTGAGAAGCTTAATAAGGTGTTTACTACATTCAATGGGGACGGAATAATGACAGAAAAGCAAAATTTTATAGGCGAACTTCTGTTGAAGAGCAGCAACATTGACTGCCCTGAAAAAGCATTTTATTTATTTTTCAGGTCAATTATGTTCTTCCGGATCAAAGAACTGAATAAAAGTTAAGACCAGAAAAATCGTGAAGGGAAATGAAGAAAAATTGTGGCTTAGACTAAGTTATTTCCATTTATTGTTATAGCCGCCAGCTTACTGCAAAAAGATGATAACTCCATTTTTCTACTTTTCTACTTTTGAATAAATGTAGTACTGTATTAACGTCATGAGCATGTTAATCCTGCTCCACGGAACATACCGAAATATAGGTAATGTAGAAAAATCTTGTTTTTACAGTAAAGTGACGATACGCTCTATTGTGGAGCTAGAAAGCCGTTTAAGCTATAGCCTGTGAGATAGGAATTACAAGGCTGAAATATTTTATTTAAATCCGCCATTTTGATTTGTATAAAAAGTTAATGTAGATTGTGTCACTCGCAACGCTAAGACGAATCCAACGACACCTCATATGTGAAAATACATCAAGCCGTTTGAGCTGTAGCCTATGAAATATGAATTACACGGTTGAAATATTTTATTAAAATCCGTCATTTTGTTTTGTATAAAATTTTAATATATCTAGTGTCACTCGCACTGCTAAGACGAATCCAACGATACTTTATATGTGAAAATAAGTCCATCCGATTGGCCTGTAGGTGAAAATATGCACGTGATCCATATGAACCCAAATGATAATCCTCTTCGCGTGACGTCATGGCAAATCTATGATGAGCGAAATATGTCTAAAAGGTGTGTAGAATTACCAGGGTAGAAAGCATATAAGAACAACACTGTCAAAAAATTGAGATATACCATAAAGCTTCAGCTAAAAAAAACTCTTGTTTTCCGTTTTTGAGCAAAGCAGTCTTATTTTAATACCATTCAGCCATTCACCACTTCCCAACAAGTCGAACAAAAACCTAAAACTTGATTAAGTAAACATTTATACATATACTGAGGCTTTTCTGGTGGCAGATCACGAATCTGTTATTAAAATTACCATATTTCCGAAATGGCGGAGTCAAGATACAGGGTCCAATGCAGATTAATAGAACTGTACTGAAACAAGAATTTTTCTATACATTTTTCAGTTTAAACATCAGACTTTTTAAAAATGTTATCGCTATTATTGCACAGTCTGTAAAGGGTTAGTAATAGGCTAGTTCATCCCTGGCAATCTAAATGAGATAATAGTTTTTCATGGACTCATCATATGAAGCCCTAGCTAATTTCTAAACTGTCAAAATGTTATAGAACTTAATAGTGTCGTTAAAAAAATATTTAAGGAAAAATTATTTCCAGTAGCGACGAAGCGTCGTAGCGTATTTTTATAGGAACCTGTGACATTTTTTGTGTTCTGTGTGCGTCCCAGAGATTAACACTTTATTTTTGGGCACCCTGTATGGAAACAATGGTCAAAGCATATCGCACAAGCTGTATACGATAAACTGCTTATAATAGTACTTCCAACTTTATGTATCATTTTTTATTATTTTATTAATTTGCAAAAGAAACATAACTTATGCTTCAACCCTTTCCATAACTACTAAAATCTAGACGCCAACTACCTTTTTGATACACTCATAAAATCATCACCTTGAAGCTTGTAGCTAGCTGAAAATTTTGTAATATTTGTACGTATCGGACTCCAAATAAATTCAAGGTTCCAAAACAAGTTTAACGGATTCCTCATTATAATTCAAAAATTGATTATAAAGTCGGTATTCCGTCTTGCAACCTAAAGCCACCACTGACCTACTGGCTGCAATTGCCTTTCATAGGCCATTTTAAAGGAGGGATTCAATTAGAAGGTAATGTCAAAACAAATTTCTTAACAATCGGTATAATAGCTGAGACTCAAAGAGGGGAAATTGGGCTAGCTACGAGTGTCAAGCTTGACCAAAAGCATTGATGATGGTGATGTATACCTTCGGGATGAGGCTGACAGTTCGCTGGACCAGAGACTGGAAATGCTCGCTCTGGAATCCACCGATCTCTGACTATGCATCCGTGATGTTGACGTCGAGAAAGATGAAGCGCTAGTCAGAGAGTGATGTCGACTGTCGTCTACGGAAGAGTCGCGGGAAAATGGCGAGTACCTGAGCGAATTCGTCTCGTTTTAATGTGGGCTTGCAATTCTGACCGAGTAATTGGGTCGACTTGGTGCGAAAAAGCAAACGCATTTAGGTATAACAAACAATAAGTGAATTGGAAACCCCAGTGAAAGCAGTGGAGGCTCGAGGGTGTAGAGCAATATGCTTAAGGGTTTGAGTAAAATGGAGCGCAAGTTTCTGTCTGCATTATTTAAATCTTTTGTATTCGGCACGGGTATTACATATCTTGAAAAGTGACCTTATGCTAATTTTTTTTGACATTGTATTGTTTTTTGTGACATTATGTATAGGTTTTTCTACAAGATGTTAACTTAGCACTAGCTGTTGGACACTTTGTGAACTCGTTTTGTAGTTGTACGTGTTGCCTAAACGTCATGAAGCTTCAGTTATGAATGTTTGGCTCTGATGTGATGTAAAATCTGCTTCAGAGATGGCAAATTGTAATTTATAACATTAAACATAACCTGTCTGCAAAATATCGCTGATTTTATACACATGCAGACCATTACACATATGGTAGTCATCCAGATGCGATCTTGCTAATAATAATAATAACCGTCTTTATTAGGGGTGAAGTTTAGCGTAGTGCTATTCTGCCACTTAAGCCCAACAAGTACAAATATATATATATATATATATATATACAGGGTGGCGCATCAAAAACGAAACAGACGCATTTACTGGCAGCTCAGTTTTTTTTTTTGAAAAACACTCAGACCCGTCGATTTTGTTTTCGGGGGGACACAAGCTTGGCAAAAAATCATGTTAGCACGTACAGTCCCCTAAGCGGGGGTGACACCACCCCCAAAATCTTAAATGGAAAGGGGGGTCGAGTGATACCTGATTTTAAAGGTCTTTCAATTCCCTTTATAATGATATAAAATTAATGTACTTCAGTTCAGTAGTTTTTAGAATTTATTGATTTAAAGCTTAAATAAAACCAATACATCATCATTAGTGGAGATCAATACATTTGGCAGCAAAGTAATTTAAAAATGAAGAATCAGCTGACCGGTTAGGCAAGTAAATGTTGAAAATGGCCACCATGACTCTCTATGCAATAATAAAGATTTTGCTCAAAACCTTACCGCACATTTTGTAATATTTGAGGAGTAATTTGAAGGCACTCATTCACAATTCTTTGTCGCAGGTCTTCTAATGATGTTGTCTGAATAGCATCGATTTTGCTTTTTAAATGACCCCACATAAAGAAATCCCAAGGTGATAAATCTGGCGATCTTGGGGGCCATTCAATAGCACCTCTTCTACCAATCCATCGATCTGGAAACATCTGATCTAAATATTGTCGAACACCTAATGCATAATGTGGTGGGGCACCATCCTGTTGGAACATCAACCTATTCGCAATGTACCGCCGATCATTCGATCATCAAATTTCCAGGTAAGAAAAAAGGACCAACTAAATGATCGCCAAAAATACCAGCCCAAACATTTAATTTTTGTGGCTGCTGTGTATGGACCTCATGATAAATTCTGGGATTAGAATCGGACCAATATCGGCAGTTATGACGATTTACTACGCCATTTAAGAAAAAGGAACATTCGTCCGAAGATCAAGTGTTGAATAGAAAATGTTCATCGTTTATAATTCCTTCACTCATATCTTCACAAAATTGTAATCGCCGATCATTAAGTTCTTGTACCAGGTAAATTTTATACGGATGAAAACTATGGGCCTTTAGAATCCGTTGGACAGTACGTCGACTAACACCCCACACAGTCTCTAATTTGCGGGTACTTAACGTAGGATCTACATGAACTTGCCCTAAAACTCTCACGTCTATTGCTTCGTTCCTTATGGGATTTTCAATGTTGCGTTTTTTATTGGCGTACTGACCCAGTTTCCCGAAATTTAGCTACAAGTTCTAGAACATATTTTTGATGCACGTTACTGTTCTCATGTCGCTCATTAAATATTTCTGCTGTTCTATTAACGCGTTGATTATTTCCGAAAAATATTTCGATAATTTCAACTCTTTCTGCTGTGGAATATACCATGGTTAATTTATGTCATAAAGCGTTACAAGTTATTTTAGCATCAAAATTTGGTCAAATAAATCGAAAAACTAAGTACTTAATTCATATTTAAAATAAGTACGAGATATTTCCTTATCTTTCTTCAAGAAATAACTTTTTTGCCACAAAAAAAACGCTCCAATAGCTATTTTGAACAACAAAATGATAAAAAAACCATGGGCGTAGTGAAGAAAAGCATTTACTTATCAAGTAAATCCTTTTAGTCAAATTTCTTCTGAAAGTAGTACAAACTAATCTGATGTAAAAATAAGGTATCACTCGACCCCCCTTTCCATTTGAGATTTTAGTGTTGGTGTCATCCCCGCCCAGAGTGCTGCAAGTTTTAGTCAAAATTAAATATTTCTGCTGTTCTAATAGCGCACTGATTATTTCCGAAAAATATTTCGATAATTTCAACTCTTTCTGCTGTGAAATATCCCATGATTAATTTATGTAATAAAGCGTTACAAGTTATTTTAGCAACAAAGTTTGGTCAAACCAATCGCAAACTATGTACTAAATTCCTATTTAGAATAAGTACGAGATATTTCCTCATCGTTCTTCAAGAAATAACTTTTTTGCCACAAAAAAACGCTCTAATAACTATTTTCAACAACAAAATGATAAACAAACCATGGGCGTAGTGAAGAAAAGCATTTACTTATTAAGTAAATTCTTTTAGTCAAATTTTTTCAGAAAGTAGTACAAACTAATCTGATGTACCTATTAAAGTCTACTTTAGGCTTTAAATCAATAAATCATCAAAACAACTGAACTGATGCTCATGTATTTTACATAAAGGGTATTGAAAGACCTTTAAAATAAGTAAACACTCGGCCCCCTTTTCTATTTAAGATTTTAGGGTTGGTGTCACCCCCGCCCAGGGGGCTGCACGTGTTAACGTGATTTTTTGCCAAACTTGTGTCCCCCTCGAAAACAAAATCGACGGGTCTGAGCGTTTTTCCAAAAAAAAAAACCGAGCTGCCAGTAAATGCGTCTGTTTCGTTTTCGATGATCCACCCTGTATATATATATATATATATATATATCAATGTTAACAAAAGTAATAAGTTGTGTATATAAATTATAACTATCTTAAAGAAAATCTTACAATGAACAGTTTTGCGAAGCGAAAGGTCGAACAACTGATTCAAGTAGATATATTTATCTAAAATATATATTTTAATTTCTTTTCTAAATTTTTTATAAGTTAGCAATATTATGGCTTGTGGAAGTTTGTTATAGAGAATAACTGCGTTGTATGTGAACCATTTACGAAAGAAGGATGTTCTGTGGAGAGGCATTGAGAGTGGGTCCGCAAGTCGAATATCTCTTGTGTGAATATAACTCCTAGATATCAGTTTATCCTCTAAAAATGGAGGAATGGCTATGAGTAAAAGCGTATGGGTATAAGTGACTAAGTGTAACTCATATAGTTCTCGTACTATCAGCCATTTCATGTCAGTAAAATAAGTGCTGGTATGATAATTCTTTCTCAAGTGATTGACTAATCTACAACAGAGATGAAAATTACAGACTAGTCGGCTTCACAAAACATATGCAACGAACAATGCGTGAAGTTGAGCCATTCTTCCATAGATGGACGCTCACAATGATCCTAATGAGTACACGTGGAATGACTGTTTGCACCCTAATAACTACCTAGTCTGCAATATGACATTTTATAGGTTTTTTTGACGTTTTATAGGTTTTTTACATAATACCCGCGCCGCATTCCGCCCAAACTTCTTTGAAAGTAAGACAATCATAAAAATGCTCCGTTTATTATTCGCTTTGTTTAAGATCAGTTGCGCTGCCACAGTTTTAAAGAAAGTTCTTCACAAACGAGCCACCACTACTCTAATTAGACAATAGTGTCAGTAACATATGAGATGTGCAAACAATGGTTGCATTCATTTGCAGCTAGCTGCTACGAACTAGATCTGCGTGAATATGACAGACAACGCCTTTGAATATTTTTAAAACCTTGACACCGATTGACAGAAATCTCGTATGTGAAACAGGTCAAGCTGGGATGTGCCATTTGACAGTAGATTCAATCAATAGTAAGTGATATTCAGCAACTGAGCTAAGCCGTACATCACGTAGCGCTAGCTCATAGCAGCTAGGTGCAGCTGAACTAAAGCTTTGATGCCTTTATCATCAGGGACAATTCGCACAAGAAGAGCCGTCGGGACCGTATATCACACAAAAAATTCCTGTTACTGAATTTCCGATGTAATGCATCCGCAATGTTTTAATGTATTCTGGGTCCGTTGAGGCTGCATATTTCTTTTGTATTTTTTGACACAACTTCGAATGGAAATCATCATAAAGAACATTCAAAATTAAGTGGAGGCTCTCGCACATTTTATGTTAGGTTTTTGATATGATCATTTTTGTGTTAAAATTGTGAGTGGGAAATAAATTCCGATTACATTTAAAATTATCGTTTTTTTTTAACAAAAACTACATATTTAATTATTTGCGAGACAACGATGCACGAATTAATTGATGGTGATATCGTTGTTAACACAAGAAAACCACGTAACTCTACTTTATATGGCGTTTAAAATAGGAAAAACACGTAATTCCTAATTTTACCTATTTTCCATTTTTGTTTTGAAAATTTCAGCTTCCTTTAAGTATCATTCAGAAACTGCTCAACTAAACTATAATATTGCATTTATTACAATAATGCTACCATTCCTAAAACTATATAATGCATAACTCAATTTGTTTTTACGCTTTCCTCTAAAATTCTTAGAAACGGAGTTACGATTTTTTCTTGTATCATCGACGATATACAGAATGTTGTTAAATAACATTGGAATGTGATGTTATTTGCCTGTGGCATCCTAATTTTGTATCCTCTAATTTTCATCTTGACCGCAAAAGTATAGCTGACTCAGTACAATTTCCAAGAATCGCTATACAGTGGAATTTGTTTCTTCATCCCTTTTGTGGAAAATTATATGCTGTTACCACTACATGTCTGTCCTTCATCATCAATTAAGAGCTCCTATGTTCTCATAGTTGATGCAATATATGTGATTTGTGTGAAAAATGTCAATGCTAAGAACTTGCTCTATGCAAAATATCTCACTTTGGTAAGTATAACAAGTTAGTAATTGATAATTCCAAAATAATGAGCATCCTGGATAGTATGGATACTATGTTGAGGTATGAGTGAACAGGCCAAGACCTACTCAACGAAGCCCACGTTTCGACTCTGACGACCCGTCTTTCTCAGTTTATATTTTTAATCAAGTACATATAGTACTAGTAACTGGGGTATGCTTCTTAGAATATAACCCAACTAAAACTTTTTTGCCGGAGTTATGAATTGAAATTGCACGTCTACAATGTTTCTGATATCCATTACGTGTGACACAGTTTGAATGGTGTAAAGGTATTTGATTATTAATAGTTAAATTTAAAAAAAATATCGAGGAAAGCCCAATATATCCTTAATAATATACTTTCCGCAATGTCAAAACCAACTTTCAACTTTACATGTATCATCGTGAAAATTTCAAAGCTGATATTTAGATGATTTGTAGTTCCCATGGGATGGACAAGCATTGCAGAAATGAGATTATTCACATTCCTTGTAGTTGTATTCATATCCAAGACGCAGAATTTAGTATTTGTATATATTTGTGTATTTATTTATCAGAGGCATTCGCTTAATAGTATAGTTCCCAGAACACATATGAATAACATATTTGTTATTTTCTTCTAACATGTCAATCCACCATTTCGAATATCTTACCAAAATCCAAACAAAACGGGGTACTATTCCATACAAAGCTGAGATCTCACCAAGGATCAACATGTTTAATACCAAAGTACAGAAGTACTGATTCCTCACTAATAGCCCTTTAATTCAACACCAGAGCAACAAAATCTCTTTATCTTTGAATAAAATTGCATATTCCTGTGTAATGTACTAACAAATGTTGCAGAGTCAAAAATATGTCAGACAAAACACATTCACATACAGTCATCAGTGTTACTAACAAAACTGGCAGATTAGATTGTCTTAAGTTGATAATATTTAACGACAGTAGTAACATCACAGCAACACAAATATGTATTAGGATTTGAGATCCGGATAACGTAGCTCATCCAAGAAAGGTATATCGCAGAAACGATTTTATCTTTTATCAAATAGTGTTTACATAATATGTGTCTGCAAATATTGTTCTATGTTGGTAAATCGTAATGCAGGGGTACTGCTAATATTATTTGTATTTGTATTAGCCACGAAATATCGATACTATATTATTATTATTTCATTATTTAAATCAAGCTATAAAACGACCTCGCCAGTTTCTTAATATCGAAGAACATAATTGAATTGCAAAATCTAAAGGGTGGAAGCTGCCGACTGCGGATAACATTGTCTATTGGCGACATTGTCGACCTGCATGCTGAGCCCTCGAAAATAATTGGAAAACAAACATTTTGGGAGAAAACTGATTATAACTAAGTACTTTGAAAGAAAAGAATAGTAAAAATCAATTTGTTGCTCTTTTGCTGGTCATTAGTATTGAATCAAAATGTTACATCTCTATATTTTCTCTAGCAGTACATGAAATCACACCACGACTACTCCACAAATTACTTTACTGACATTACAGCTGCTATGCAAGCATTATCAAAATACAGAACTCAATGATATGTAAAATAAATAGAATTTTACTTTGCAAGCCACTACCGCGACGGTTAGTAAACGTCTCTGGTTTTGCCTCTTACTGTACCGATCCCTTCAAAAATATAAAGTTTATTTTTTACTGTAGTAGGTCGTTAGACAAGGCTAAGAAGGCGGCCGATATGTTAGCGACGAGGTCCGAAATAAGAATTAACATGTCACTTTTTTGCTCTGGTTTTCACTTTGAAACAAAGCAAACTGTATCTGAAGTAGAGAGTTTTCGAGTGAAAGATGGCGAGAATGCATAAAACTATTAAATTATTTCAGGTATCAAATCCATATCAGTCATCTAAAGGATTATGAGGCGAGATCTATTGAACATTTTTCAATCAGTATTTTTCTTACACTACATTGTCCAATGTTTCAGAACAAAAATGAATTCGAGTTGAAAAAATGCAAATGTCAGAAAATGCGCTAGTCTATAAATATTATAACTACAAAAAATTAAAAATGGATGAAAAAAGAGTTATAAAGTTTTTTCGCTCAAGTATACTAAGTGACATATAAATCCGAACACCCAGTTTAAATGGTTTTATTTTAATCGAAGTTGGTGAATGTATTTATCTTACTGTAAATAACAAGTGAAAAAATTTTCAGCCTTATCAGTTGGACATTCCGGTTTTTATACTGCTTTTTTTTAATTCACTAACGCTCTAAAAATGAATATTTCAGCCGCAGTAAAGAATCAACGTTGGCGGATTTTGGTTCTTGACATCCTTTACGATCGGTTACGATGCCTAGAGTACGGAGACCTGTACGATTTTGTCAACTTAGTGAGTTTGATAGGGGCCGTATAGTGGGACTTCGGGAAGCTGGACTTTCTTTTCGGGCAATTGCAGTTAGAGTGCACAGAAGTGTAGACACTGTGATTAGGTGTTGTCAGGCATGGCTTCGAGAAGGCCGTACGCAAAGAGCAAGGGGCACTGGACGCCGCCGTAGAACAACAGACCGTGAAGATCGCCGCCTAAGATTATTGGCCTTAAGGGACCGTTTCTCCACTACCAGGTCCATTGCAAATGAATGGTTTGCAGAACACGGAAGACCTATTGGCATGCGAAGTGTTTACTGACGAATGAGAAGTTTTGGCTTGTTTTCATACCGGCCACACTGGGTCCTCCCTTTAACTCGAGAACACCGAGGTAATCGCCTTGAGTGGTGCAGACAACGGTCACTCTGGGATCAGGAATGGAACAGTATTGTCTTTAGTGACGAGTCTCGATTTTGTTTAGGCATGCACGATAGTCGTGTCAGGGTTAGAAGGCGACGTGGTGAAAGGAGGAATCCACAGTTTTTTGTTGAAAGACATGTTCATCACACTGTTGGAGTTATGGTTTGGGGTGCTATAGCTTATGGTTCCAGGTCACCTTTAATCTTCATCAGAGGTAAGATGAACGCGGAGCGTTATGTCCACGAAGTTCTAGAACCCCATCTTCTACCCTATCTTGACACCCTGGCAGATCCAACTTTCCAACAAGATAATGCCCGACCACATGTTGCAAGAGTCACAATAGACTTCTTTCAACATAATGATGTCACATTGTTACCATGGCCACCAAGATCTCCCGACTTATCCCCAATTGAGCACGTGTGGGATATGATGGGTAGGAGATTGCTCAATTTGCAACGTCCTCCTCAGACTCTAGAAGCACTTCGAGAGGAGTTGATGGTTGCCTGGAATGAGATACCACAGGAGGACATTGACCACCTGATCAGAAGCATGCCTAGGCGCGTTGGAGAATGCGTAGCACATCAGGGTGCATCCACACATTATTAAAGGTCAAAGGGCTTTAAAGCAGTGCAATCATTTTTAAATTTTTATCATTTACTTATTATGCTTCATTAAGTACTTATACAAAATTTTAATTAAAATAAAACCATTTAAACTGGGTGTTCGGATTTATATGTCACTTAGTATATTAGCAGTGAAATTACCACAAATTTTGAGCGATAGGTACAGTCTTGATTAAGCATTGCTGTTAGCTTTTTGATGATTCATTGATCAAAATCGGAGTGCCACTTTCCAAAATGATAGAGAACGTGATCCAAAGAACACGTGAATTGAGAAATGCTTTACGTTTACAGTACTTCGTTCGAATATTAGTATGGGACGTAAAAGACAAGACACTTATTGACTCTTGAATTATTTTTGATATTTGAATCAAAGTGTTATCGACTTAAAGACGGTTTAGTATGTATTCGTATATTACCGGAAAAACGATCAAAAATAAGTAGCAAAAAAACAATGATTAAAAATGGGTCCATGGAAACCCTGGTAGTAGGTCAATTCCCGAGTCTTAGCGATGTCAATCCAGAAAAATGATAACATTTACGGCACCTATCTGATCAATGTCCTCTCAGATGATTATAAACAATTCGTATAAGGTCCCTTTAATAGCTTTTGGTTTGTTAATAGCATTCTCACGTACAAATCAAGTTAGCTATCTGAAAAGAGCACTTAGCAGCCATGATTTGGTTAGTAAGATAAGATCCAATTAATAGTTTATATTTACCTTCTGAATGTGCTACCCACTGTTTGTTTGATTGATTCTTCATTAAAACACGCATATCTGAACCGCATTGCGCTATACTTAAACAAACATCTATTGACTTATCACAGGAGCAAATACGAGAGAGAGTATGTTTACATTACGCAGCAGTATAAACATGAAATGAAATAGTATTTGTTCGTATTTCTTATGCGGCTATAAATACTTGTTGATATACTGGTTAAAAACCAAACATTTACAATACGGATATGATCAAATCTATGAAATAATGCATACGAAATACTCTTCAGAACATAGAAAAATCGTTAACGTATGTGATCCATTAAACTTTAATTTATCATTTTTAAGTTTCAAATTAAAAAACTGATAGAGTATCAGTAGAAACAGTTTTGAGATAAACTTGCCATTAAATTCAGCAGATTCTCTAATGGCATGTACAAACTTGAAACAAAGGTTTCGAAGCACTAAAAAACGTTTACTCTTATAGAAACGTTTAAAACAAATTGTGCTACTGTAATTATCTTGTTAAAAATTACAGAAAAGTGCAAAGATATTGGCAAAGCAAGACTTTTAGAGTAACGACACTCTGGCTCTATTACCAATTATCATCAGCTTTCCACCAGCTTGCGTTAGAACTGAATAATTGCATTTTTTTTATTCTGATATAACTAGACAGATCAGGCATATCGGGGTACTAAGCGTCTCATTATTCATATCTGTAACTCCAAATGTGGTGTATTTCAGAATATTTTGTCCCGAGAAGAATGTTTTGCTATGTAAATAAAAAAAATTCAAACGCACTTTTTTTAATTCGAACTCTATTCCGACTGTTTTGAGTTCCTTTTTAGTTAAAACTCAACAATCTGTCACAATTATCTACAAACAACAATGTAACGGTAATAGAAAAAATATATCGCTTCGAAAAGCGAGATTAACTGCTGTAAGTTGAATATAACCGTGTTCCTTCTTCAGAAGCCCTGACTCCGAATTTTCAGGCTGATATATCAAAAACAGCTCGGTTATAGAAAAATACTATTTTGAATATTAAGCCTCAACACCCTTTGCCTCTTTTATGAACGACGTTTCACTAAGGTAGATGCTCAATATCATTGTTCTTACGAGTTTAATCCAGGATGGCCTTTTGGCGTATTTATTACGGACCACACTGTGGGTAGATCAGAGAACTACTACGAGTAGCTAGCCTTTCGATTTTGCAATCATTCATCTTTGATCTTTGTTCGTATATAACTAATACAAAATATGGTACGCACATTTTGATCTGATTCGAAGTCATCGTTTCGTCACACTTGTCACAAGCTTTACAGACACTAAAATATCTGATATTATACGAGAATATCAATTACGAGCACATATGCCAGTGACCCAGCAGTCAGCTGTATTACGGAAACGCACATTCTCATATTCTCTTATTGTAGTCCGTCGTATATCGCTAGTTTCATGTAATAAATATGCTTTTATGTTTGTTTGACATTCATACACAAACAATATTTTAGGAAGTAGGTTCTACACATCTAAATATTTCTACATATGTCGATTTTTTGAACTTTATTCGCTTATTCCTTTTAGTTGTCAAGCAAAAAATAATTGGTTACCAACTTTCGCTACCATGTACCTGGGTCGCCTCTTCAAAAGAAAAGCTTGCTGTATTCTTCAAACCATATGTTTGTGTACTTAGCAAGGAAAGTCTGAGAGCTTTTGAATATTTGGGTCTGTTCTGTGCGCGCATACCCCTACCGCAGTTTACGAAGTCCATAGTGTCGTTTTTTATTTGGTGATGGAAAATTCAAAATGTTTCTTTCTATTTACTGTGACCTGTGACCTGGGATTTGATTCATCACATCAATTTGAACTTGTATGAGATATACTTGATCAATATTTAGACTTAAATGATATTGGATATTCATTTACCTCGGATAAAAATATCATGATATGAAGACTCATTCCAATCCTAAAAATTCCACTTATTGTCAATGTCTGATCGTAAAATATATAAAATAATAAATGTTATGAGTTTTTAAAAGCAAAATGCAATTCGATGATAGCACATATACAGAGTGTAAAGCTTCTGGTTGGGGGGTAATTCCTGGAGTGATTCTAAAATGGAAGGCTCGTACAGGGTGTCCTTGAAGTTGCGATCTTACTTTACACAGCTTCAGGTAAAAATGAGCAAATTGTCTTTGTAACACACATACTAAAGCCTTAAGATAACCAAGACGTTCAGTTCTGAAAGAAATCTGAGTGGGCTAGCCCGGCCCAGAATCCAGCATAAAAAGTTAGGACATGTGCCAGTGTCTAAATTACCCGGCACATGGTATTTTACAAACAAAACACGAGACAGGGCAGTACTTGTACTCAATTTCCTTTTTACGTTTACATTTCTTTTTCTAAAAATAAAAACCCCAACTTCTAGGATACCCTGTATTCACGTTGGTTCGGTAATGCTTCATTTCAAAGATGCAGAATGTCACCCTTTTTTATAAAAATATTTAGATTTTGTTGAAAATAGACATAGACTTCGCCGGTTATAAAATAAATGCAATTACATGAAAAACAGTTCACTGTAATCACAAAAAACATGCAACAGTAAGCCGATTAATAACAGTAGTAAACTGCCATTGAGGCATTCTGATCCTTTGCTGATACGAGTTCTCAACGGAGCTTGGTAGCTCGGTGTGTTACGCCGCTAGCACATCGGCTCAAAGTCTCGCGGGTTTGAATCCCGGCCTTGGAAATTACATTTCGGGCCAAGGATGTTATGTTTGTCTATATATGTACGCATCAGACTGGTGCAAGCTCAAATAGGCACATCATCACATTGCTGGAGCCGGTTAATTCAATATGTATAGAGCATATAGAAACGAGAGTCCTCACAGAAAGTTTATCGGAAATGGCTGTAGTGTATTTGTTTTAAAAATATAGTGGGTTATAGATCTTAGCACGTAGAAAAAAAACGCTTTTTCCAGGAGTAGACCGTCCGTACCATGTTACAGCGTATTGCGGCTACGGTATACGGTGTGTAATAGCGGCTTTATAATCATTTACATTCATATTATCGTCTTTAATGTACTGCTGGCCAATATTTCAATTTTATTGCACATACAGGCAAACTATGATGGTTGGAATATTGCTCCTAAGCAAAATCTTTATTAACAATTATACCTACTAATATTATCTGCATCACACCTCTCAAAATACATTTCAAAGATATTCAGTTTTGTATATGGTGTTCTGCTATTGAAATTGATATAAAAGTTGCATGTTTGATTTTATCTAATCTTAGGTAATCGCTACGTTTGTAGTCTTTACACTTGATATAGTTCAATATTGTACAGGGTGGCCCATCCATGTGTGGACGGAATATTGCTCATAAACAAATACATTTTGGGAAAATCTATTAATGGATGTTATACATGACATTTGAGAGCACATTTCTAAAATGTTAGCCATTATACAGGGTGTCCCAATTTCGACCTACATATCAAAGTTTTGATTTTTCAAATAGAATGTCTAAAATTTCATTGCATATTTGGATAAACCAATTCAAAAGAAGAAAATTGATATAACATACTATGGGGTTTTGGTAATTAGCTACTGAGATATAAGGTGTTTTGTCTGGAACCCCCCCCCCCACTTCGGCAACCCTCAGTCTGCCATTTTGAAATTTGCAGTGCTGAATTTTGTATCAAAAAAACTTACACACCTCAGCTTTTATCTTATTTGTTACTTTTTTGAATTTTAATTTTTGCTCCTACAGGGAGGTCATTAAATCGCAAATTCTGGTTTTTCTCAAAAAATTCAAATGCATCACCCTGTATATTTGTGCAAGTTTGGATTTAATTTTTTATAAGCTTTTTTTAATACTAGACACATAAGGGTTTTTACGGCTATTTTTCGGTTAATTCCCTAAAATATCGCATCATCCTTGGAAACAAATAAATTGTTGATTAGCTACAAACTCTCAAAATTAGCTTTGTGAGCATTATAATAAAAGCGTGTTTGAATTTTTCTAAAGAATAAATGGTGAATGTGGTGTTCGTTTGCGAAGCCCAAATAAATGGTTTCATAGCATAGCATAGCAACAGATTTTCTTGTGTGTAAATGTTATTATGCCGTCTCTGAGTTTGTTATGTTATGATTTATCTGTGTGTTTGTTTTATACATATATTTATTTTGTGTTGGTTTATTAGTTTTTTCCGACGAATCCTATACATACTTTGTAATGTCTCTGAGGATAATAAAATGATTTGAGTTTGAATTTCAATCTCGCATTTCTAAGCAACGATACCCTAATATGTGTATGCGACATCCAAGGCCGGAAACATCTTTCACACTACGAGAACGTTTTGAATTAAGTGGAACAGTGTAATATAGTAAAAAATGTATAAATAATCCAAGTGTCACCAATGAGGCGAATCAGTTGAAAGAGACCCTTACTGGGTTAGGCAAATAGATATCCAAAATAAATGGAGCTTGAATGTTTGGGGATAAGTTATTGGCAGACAAGTTATCAGGCCTTTCTTTTCGACAACAGATTAACACGTACAGGCTACTTGAATTTTTGTTCGAGCATTTGCCTTTGCTTTTGGAGGATGTCAACCTGCAAACTCGGATGCATATGTACTTTCAACAAAACAGCGCATCTGCGCATTATCATAATCATGTGCGTAACTATTTGGACACCTGGAGTAATAATCGTTCGATCGGTCGTGATGTGTCTATATCTTGGCCTCCTAGATCTTCAGATATGACACCGATGGACTTCTTCATATGGGGCTACGTTAAGCAAGAGGTTTATAGGTATCCACCATCTGTCTCGGAACATATGAAGGAAAGGATTAAGGATGCTTTTCTGAACATAAGGGAACACATGCCGAGAGATGTGCAAGGGTCATTTATCCAAAGACTACGGCTGTGTATTCAACATGGTGAAGATATTTTCGAGCAGTTTTTGTAGATTAGGTCTTGAGTAATGATAGTTGTTTGTTTATGTTTTTGTTATAGTTGTTTTTCTCTATTACGGTTGATTTATACTTGTTATTAGTTTTCACGTCAAATCTGTACTCTTAGTGGCAATATGGAACTAGCCCTCTGTTTGTCTTTTGTTTCCATGGATGATGTGATTTTCTTCCTTAATTTTGGTGTGGTGTTCTATTAAAAGCTTAATAACTCAAAATCTAGTGATTTTATCTAAATCAAACCTTGTACCAAAATAAAGCTTACACAAAATTGAATCCAAAATTGCTCAAATATACAGGGAGATACTTTTGAAATTTTTGAGAAAAAGTACAA